GACAGCAAGGAGATCAAGCCAGTCAATCCTAAAGGAAATCAACCCTGAGTACTCATTGGAAAGACTGACACTCAAGCTGAAGCTCCAATAATTTGGTCACCTGATGCGAACAGCCAACTCATTGCAAAAGACCCTGATGCTGGGGAAGATTGAAGGCAAAAAGAGAAGAGGGTGGCAGAGGTGAGATGGTTAGAAAGAATCACTAACTCAGTGGACATGAACTTGGGCAAACTCCAGGAGATAGTGAGGGACAGGGACATGCTGCAGTCCATGGGGTGGCAAAGAGTTGGACATGACTTAGCGACTGGAAAACAACAATCTTATTTTGACTTTTCGTCTACTTCGAGCATTTGACTTGAAGAAGCCTTTTGTGAGCAAGCTGCCAACTCAAAGAGCTGAAAGGAAATCCATACTTCACTCCAAGTCTGGCTAGTGGAGATGGAGAGAAGAGAAAACAGTGCTGGAATTTCCAGTCTCCAAGGAAAGATTGAGTAGGACTGCAGAGGAAACTATGGTCACGTGACCTGTTACAGACCCTACAGGGAACCGGATTTGGTTTAAACTTGAACAACATTGAGGCATGACTTGACTCTACTTAAAACTAATCTTTCAGAGTCTCAACTGCTGAGGCAGAAATTACACAGGCTTTGCCCCAAGCATAAAAGATGACGTGTGAGAGTCTTGCCACCTGGGAAACTGGTCCCTGTGAAGGTTCCTCCTCCTGGAGAACATGGCTTCTCCTATCTTTGCCCTTTCTTAAGGAGCTCTTTCTTAGGGAAAGCTTTCCAGCTGACACCCACCCCACTTCAATCCAGATCATGTCCAGTGTGAAAACTCACAGACCCTGCACTTGCTTTTTTTTGGCTGCACATGCAAGGTTTGACCTTAGCTGCCCCGAGCAGGGATTGAACCCTTGTCCCCTGCAGTGGAAGTTCAGTGCCTTAACCACTGGACTGCCAGGGAAGTCCCTGCATTTCTCCTTTATAATCATTGATCTTTATCTGGAATTAGTGATTCATTAATTTGATGGATTAGCTCTGTTGTTCTCTCCCCCACCCCCACCTCCTCACCCCCAGCAAGCTCCCTAAGGACGGGGAACCCTTTGACTTTATAGTGCGCCCAGAACAGAGTAGAATGCTCAGTTCAGAGTGGGCCCTCATTAAATATTTATTAGATGAGTGATGAAAGCAATATGATTTGAAAAGAATGTCAAAACAGAATACTTCAGATCACAAATCATTTCTAGGTAGACACCTTTATGCAGATATACACTATTTACCATAAAACCCTCAATGTACAAGGCCATATTGCACAGGAGGGAGACCATGAAATGAGGACATTAACAATCAACTTTAACAGCAAGTTAGTAGTAAGAGGAAATGCTGCACATCCAAAAAGGGGGTTCTTAGAAACCGGATGGTTTACAAGGTCCTAATTGGCCATGTTTAGACATTTTAAAGGAGGGACGTGAGAAGAGCAGAGTTACTGCTTTCCAGGTTTAAAGGCACGAACTCACAGCAGACCTCGGAGAGAAATTCCCTTTGGGACCAGGTACCATATGAGACAACAGAAAGTTGCACGATGGGGCCACCCTGTCTTTTTCAAGCTGTTAGGACACTTCCAGAAGCATGTGAAACAACAGCCAGCCTGCCTGTGTTGTTTTTACTTTCTTCTGTTCTATAAAGTTGAAAAATGTGGCTTACTTGGGATGAATGTAAATAACAAGGAAGATAAAATTTTCAGAAAATATTCTTCAAGCACCACAGCAAGATAAAGCAGTTACTTGTTCTTAAACTTGATTAAGCTGTACTCCAAGAGACCATGCTTTTTGGATAAATTCAGTTCCCATCCCCTCCATCAGTTTTTTTTTTTTTTTTTTGCACACACTTATTTACACAGTTTGGTGCCAATTTTCAACAAAATAAGGTTTCGTTTTAATTTCTATATTGTGACCTTCCTTTATCTTTCAATTATTCTATGGAACATACAATTAAATTCCATCTTCCTCACTAAGTGGCTTGAATTTATGACTTCCTGGGAGCTAACACATTTATTTGTGTGTTAGACAAATATAAAAAATAAGGATGCTGAGTAGTGAAGATCATGGGGGTTTTTTTGGTGCTTTTAAAGCTATAGAGTTTCTTTTCTTCCCTTCAAAAGGTTGTACACAATAAATTACATGGCAAACAAAAATGAATTAAGTGAGACTGAGAGATCAGAGAAGAAATAAAGAGGCGCCAGTTTCTGTAGAGGGTCTTTAATGGCTAATGCTTTGGGACTATCAATTTGGAAAGGAAAAAATCAAATAAAAATCCATTCCATACTCATTTTGCAGACCTCATCCTTTTCTTTGTTTTCATAGAAGTAACTCTGCCAATATTCTATTGTATATAGGATCTATTTTGTTTTTCTACTGTGTCCTAATATGCTGCAAACAAATTCTAACTCTCTTAAAGGCAGACAAAAATTAAACAAATTAAATGCTGTTTGTTAAGTAATTTCAAAATAAGGACAAGCAGGACACTTTCACTTATGCATTGTCAACCATACAACTTCCCCTTTACTTTCACCATTGCTCCTACTATGACTAGCAGAAATCCTAAAAGATCAGATAATAAAAACCCAAAGAGGTCTTCACATTTTTTTCAACTTCATACTTAGAGCCCATCTCAAGCTATGGACTGCTTTCATCCTTGAGATTGTTTGAAACCCATTAATTCTTCCTTTGGGAAAGTAAGAACAAGCCATGATCAGAGAGGAAACTGCCATTTGTTTCCCTCTGTGGAATATCTCCTTTACTCCATTTAGTAGCAGCTGGGGCTGAAGACATGGGTTTATACCATGCTGGGGAGGAATAATTTATTTCTCCATAATGGTGTGTAACTAGCAGAGTTCCTTGAACACAGAAAATGTCCAGTGCAAATTTGGCAAAAGAATGGGTGAATGAAAGAATAATATAATTTTCATTGTTTTAAAATGAATCATTTCCACGCTGTTATCTTACTACAGTTCAAAGCCCCTTGTTACCCAGTCTTTACAAAATAGGTTTTAGGCTTCCCTATAGAAAAACAAGGGCTTCCCAAGTGGCACTAGTCGTAAAGAACCCACCTGCTAATGCAGACGATGTTGGAGATGTGGATTCAATCCCTGGGCCGGGAAGATCCCTTGGAGGAAGGCCTGGCAATCCACTCCAGTATTCTTGCCTGGAGAATCCATGGACAGAGGAGCCTGGCAGGGTAGCAATGAATTAGACACCACTGGAGCAACTTAGCGGGCATGCAGAGTAAAACAAACTATGGCAGAGAACTATCGTGGCTTTAGAAAGGCTTAGAAAGAAGGACCTGTGCTCAACCAAGCTTCACATGAAGTAGCTTTGTCGGAGTGACACTTCAGAGCTTCTCCAGGAGGAGGGATTGCTTTGGAGTGTGAGGCAAAAGAAAGGTGCTCCCAGCTGCAGAAATACTTGGAAGGTTTTCATTTAGGGGGAGCAATGAAATGTCTAAATCAACCAGCACCCTTCACCTTGCTCCATAAGGTTATTAGGGAGATACAGTGTGACTTACTCTGAGAGAAATCTTGGCTTTTACTGACCTACAGTTGAGTCTTGCGTGTCTCTATATTTTTTCCTTTGCTTTTCCTTTTTTCTCTCGATGACTACGGAATTTCCTGTTTGGTTTCTCCACAAGGGACCACGTGTTTAGGGGCGAGGGAATTAATAAATCCTAACTCTACGAAGACGACTGTTTCAGACAACCTTAATAAAAGCACAAGTCCCTAGCTTCTTCATGGTGCCACCTTCTTTTAAGAAGCTGCTTAAGGCCACACCCAGCAGACACACCGTGTCGAGGACCGTGTAACTGCCATCCCTCCTTTTGTGCCAAGGTGCTTGATCAGGGAGAGAGTGGTGACTACGAGACCCCATGCGCTTAACTGGAGCACAGAGTCCCTTAAAGGCAAACTTTGCAAACAAGAATAGCCTTGAAAAAGACCCTTTAGGCTCAGATCAATGCTCAGGAACCTTGCCAAGTTCCCCTGACATTCCGCGGATGTGTCACTTACGCGGGAGGAGAGGCTTCCTTCCACCCCAAACCCAAATCCCTGTTCTGTCCCTCCAGCGCATTGCGTACTTGTCGGATGAGCCCTTGGGAAAATAGGGGCCCCTTCTCTCCTTCGTCGGCGTCAACTCGGGTCACCTTGGCCGAGTCCTCCCTGTCCCTCTGGGAATACTTCCGTGGTGCCGTGACCTTAGCCTCTCGGGAGAATGCTCTATGTGCTCTGGAGATCTACTGGGGGTGCTGGATTCCCAGCCCTCTGGATCTGCCTGAAGGGAGAACCATCCTGCGGTCCCCAACCCCCCAAGCTCTGGGACCGCTGCGGGGCTGCGCTAGCCTTTATTGGTCATCATCCATTTTTAATCAGAAAGATCACAAGAAGGATGGTAAGCGAATCCCAGTAGCAAGTCAATTTAAATAACATTCCTGGGGAAATTCAACCACTTAAAACCGAGACACCTACGCTAGCAAGAGCCCCCGCCCGCGTGGCTGGGAAGAGCGCGACGGCTGAATTAATCAAGATCAGGGGGCTCCCAGGCTGCGCGCAGAGCGTTAACCCTTCCAGCCCCGGAGAGTACCAACAGGGGCTTGGACGAGCGCGGCCGGCCGGGGCCAAGATGCCCAGGGCAGCCCCGCGCAGGCTGCCTCTGCCATCTTGGGCGGTTCCGGACGCCCAGCGCCGGTCCGGGGCTGCTGGAAGCGCGGGGTTGAGGTCAGAAGCTCAGGAGGCAGTTCGGGCGGCGGGAAGCGGCCGCCTCCCGCAGCTTCGGCGCGCCTCGGGCTCCTCCTTCCGCCCAAGCGTGGCCGAGTGAGCACTGCTCCGGCCGCAGGTAGCAGACGCGCGAGAGGCGGCGCACAGGACCCGAGCGGAGCGCCAGGGGAGGGGCCGACGGACGAGCGGACAGACGGACCTCCCGCCCCGGACCCTAGCGACGGTCCGCGCCGGCCATGTGGGGACCCGGGATCACGGCCGAAGGCCTGTCGGTGGCGCCCGCGCCGCCACCGCTGCTGCCGCTGCTGCTGCTGCTGGCGCTGGCGCTGGTGGCGCCCTCGCGGGGCGGCGGGGGCTGCGCGGAGCTGGCGTGCGGCGAGCGGGAGCGCTGCTGCGACGCGGCCAACGCCACCGCGGTGCGCTGCTGCAAGCTGCCGCTGCACGCCTTCCTCGACAACGTGGGCTGGTTCGTCCGCAAGCTGTCCGGGCTGCTCATCCTGCTGGTGCTCTTCGCCATCGGCTACTTCCTGCAGCGCATCATCTGCCCCAGCCCACGCAGGTACCCTCGCGGGCAGGCGCGGCCGGGGCCACCGGGGGGCGCCGGGCAGCCGGGAGCTCCGGGGCCGCCCGACGACGAGGACGACGACTCGCCCGAGCTGCTGCGCGACGAGGTGGCCGCGGGCTCTCAGGACTCGCTGCTGGACAGTGGCGGCGGCGGCGGCCGGGGCCGGGCCGGCGGCGGGCGCTCGGCCCCCTCCTGCGCCTCGGAGCACGAGCTGCGCGTGGTGTCGCCGGTCTTCCTGCAGCTGCCCAGCTACGAGGAGGTCAAGTACCTGCCCACCTACGAGGAGTCCATGCGGCTGCAGCAGCTCAGTCCCGGGGAGGTCGTGTTGCCGGTGTCGGTACTCGGCCGCCCGCGAGGTGGCGGCGCCGGGGAGTCCGACGGCGGCGGCGAGGGCCGCTTCCCGCTCATCTGAGCACCCGCGGCCTCGCGAGGACCACGCGGACAGAACCGGGCCGGGGGCTGCGGGTGGGACGCCACGGCCCGGTGGCCGCGGACGCCGCCAGTTGCCTGAGACCCCCGCCTGTCGCCCGGAGACTGGGTTGGGGCCACCCCCGCTTCCCCAGGGATGTTAAGTTTCCCTACATTTCATTCGGTTCAAGGAAACGTTAGGCACGCGCGGCGGGGACGACCGCCGCAGACCAGTCCGGCGCGCAACTTTGGAGGACGTCGCCGCCCTCTGCCTCCCTTCGGCTGGCTTGTGTTCACTCGTAAGTGCCTGCTTCCCGAATGAGGAGACATAGGAGCCTTCGGAGAAGGGCAGTGACCATTACGGATGCAGGGGAAGGGGCGCAGTGCCACTCCTTTCCCTCTCGCCTGGACAGGTCGAGGTCTCCCAGGATGGGCGGAGGGCGAGGAGGCGAGCCAGGACTGGAGACTGCTGCGCGCGGGTCTGGGCCAGCAGCACCTAGGTATGGTCGAACCCTCCCTCGCCGAGAACCCCCCAAAACGCTTCCGTGTCCTCTCGGCGCGGCATAGTCACAGCTCACAGATTGGTAGGGGGAGAACCGTGATATCCGGCTAGTTGCTGTAATTAACACAGCAGTTACGGCCCATCCAAGAGCATACTCATAATAAGGTACAGTTGAACTTTGGTTTTTCAGTAACTGAGAAGATATTTATATTTATTTGTCTTTTATTTTTATATTTTTACCATGTATTCAACGCATGGTATTTCTGCGATTCATGACAAGGTAATCGTCTCAGCGCCTTTTTTAGGCCTTAATGGCCCAGAAATTGTCTCACTGTCATTATTGTTTCATAAAATGCTGGATATTATTTCATTTACAACGGAGAAAAAGAAGAGGCATGGTCAAACAAGAAAACATTATGTGATTAAAAACATGAAGGATACCTTATTTTCACTATTTGAGAAAAATATATTTTATTTTTAGTACTGTGGCATAATATATAACTTTTATAATAACTATACATTATGTATGTAGTCTAGGTGATAGTTCCGTGTAAAATGGATTGATACATGTATACCATACTACGAAGCATGATGTCATACACTTTCCCTCCATTTTTCATTTGGAATACACTTCACAACATAGTACAAAACTTAAGAATTTGTTGTGACTTGTAACTTTTGTTTAAAGCCATAATTGTGCTGTAAGGTATTACAGAAGGATTCGGTCAACCTCTCAAGAAAAAAAGTCATTGTATCAGTTCTACCATTCTATGAAATGTCCTTTAAGCAAATGGTAATATAAAATAATGCATTAAAATGCATTATGTATAATGTACATATGCGTATTGTCTATGTACAGTACACACATTGTATATCTTATAATTATTACAGTTTGTGATTGTCAAGAAAGGGAAAGAAGGAAAATAAATTTAAAAAGCTTTTTCTGCTTAGGGAAGGATGAATATTACATTGAGAAAAATTACACAATGGACCTCACACGTGTATTTAGAAAAGTTGTTCTTATGATTGAAAATTTCTGACAGTCCTGAGAAATCTTAAAATATCTGTATTAGAAAAAATTATTTAATTACTTTAAACTTTTTAAAGCTGATTGGAAAAGTATGAGAGTTCTAAGAATCTTAAGATGTCTGAATTGTAAGAGAATGGTTTATTCTAAACTTCTAAAAGCTAATGACCCTGTCATTAAAGTGAATCATTTGAAGTGTATTAAAACAGAAAAACATTAAAATCTTTCTCTGTGTAAATTGTATTAGATGTGTAACTATATGGTACTGTTTTAAAATATGAAATGTGTGTCTTTATCATTTAAAAATAAGTAAGCTGTGAATTGGCAAAAGCATCAGGAGTTGGGACTGTATCAACTTTTACTAAGAATGGTATAGGGTTTAATGAAATCACATTATATTGAATGATCACAAATATTAATGTTACTCAAACACTATACATTTTATTTATATGTGATTGTCAATACCACCCACCATTCAGACAAACCAGAAAGTTGCCTTATTCCTTTAAGTGATTTATCCTTTGAGGGCACACTTTTAAAAAAATCACCCATATCTGAAACATCAACATGAATATCCAGGTACCAGTATATAAAATATATCCTCCATGTTGTTACTACTAATATCTTGAACTGTACAACAAAATCTTGTGAAAATACACGTGATATGAATCAAGATGCTTTTCTCGTGCCAGCTTATGAAACATTTCTCGCCCTAGAATTCAGAACGTGACACCAGTCATGTGATGAGATTCTCCTGAATTTTAAAAGAGTTTTACACTTGTTTTTTTTCCTACACATCATACAAGCCTTTATTCACATCCCCCAGTTCAGTAAAAAAACAAATGAGTTTGACTCTACTTTGGTTTTTTTCTTGTAATTCATTGATTTACCAAGCACAGTTCTGTTCAGGCATAATTTTGTGGAGGAAAAAAAATACTGAAGAGCTATTTTTATTAGTGATAAATGAACATATCTCATGGTAATGCACACACATATTTCACCTACCATATTAATACACACAGAATCCATGTGTTCACAATACTAGAATATCCAGATAGGAACATTTTTAAAGCACTAATGGTAGTATCTTGGTGTTAAGTTTTATAGATTTCACCTGGAAGTTTTTTATTGCATAGAACTAGTAGAAAAATGGAAATGTAGAAAGTAGCTTTATTCTTTCACCTGAAAATAAATCATGATGAAATCCTGACTGTACTTATTTTTTATTCTTCTTTATATAATGTAGAACACAGATATATCTATAGATATACAGACATATCTACATAGATACATAGTCTGTGACATAGTTTTTGCAAGGCTGATACATAGATGCAAACCTTAACCAAAGTACCTAGAAATGCCAGATTCTCCAGTACTAACTGACTTTTCCTCCGATTTTCAGCTATCAAAGTAATTCACATACTAAAACATTTTTTATTTTCATTGACTTCACATGACTAGGGAAATAATGGCCCTGGATATGGTAAGAATCCATCTGGAATGAGAGAAAACATGATTGATTTTCTAAATCGTGTGTGTGTGTGTGTAATCACCAGTTGCTTAAAAGCAATTTATATTGGTGTTCAACATCATAACCAAGGGGAAAATGTCTTCTTGAGATGTAATGATAGTTTTAAGAAGCCGTTAATTGCCACATTCTGCAGATATGCATGTGCTTCAACGAAGGAAAATGGCATTGGCAATTATGCCAAAGGGCATGAAGTGTATAAGGAAAACAAGATTCAATTGTAAAGGCCGAAGGGAACATTAAGGAGATGGCCTCAACAGTTTTTTAAAAGGCAATATGGTAGGTATCTTAATGTTCTACTTTATGTATATAGTTTCTCTCAAGTTAAATTAATAAAAGAAACAATCCAGAACTGAAACTGATGTGTTATAAACATGAATATTGTGTTCAGATTTATATAGTATTCTATACTGACTTGTAAAAATTTCACGAATAATAATTAATTTGAATTTCAAGATTGAGAGACGCAGTGATGAGTTGTTTTACTTTGAACAACCCAACATTAGCCATCTCCCCAAGAATGTAAGTTGCAGACAACCAATCAATAATAGAATATTTGGAAAGTTTATGTTGAACACACTGGTTTAAATTTATGTTTTCATCCTGATTTCATCCATTGGTGAAAAGGCTAACATGGCAGGCTAAGGGAATGTATTTTATCAAGCAAACATTAAATCAGTAACCAGCTAATTGCAAAAAACAAAGACATCCTTTCTTCCATAGAAATGGGAAGCATGTCTTAATTCTGTTTTCTTTCATTTTGCCTATAAAGTAATAAAATCAAATAAAACCAATACCTTTGATTATACTTAAATCCATGGAGAACTTAATTTTACTTATTTATTCTCTTTTACTTACAGAATTCACTTAATTTTATGGTGAAAATTATTCTATGGAGGATATTTAGGCTTGCCATTAAACTAAAGATTATCACTTTTTTCCCTCCTAGCTAAGCACCTTCATTGTCTTGATATCTTCTAGTTCTTATTTTCTTTCTTTGTGTGTTGTTCTTTGGATTTTCAGTAGATGATTTGTCTAAAACTCCCTGGTGGTTCAGACGGTAAAGTGTCTGCCCACAATGCAGGAGGCCTGGGTTCAATCCCTGGATTGGGAAGATGCCCTGGAGCGGGCAGTGGCAACCCACTCCAGTACTGTTACCTGGAAAATTCCATGGATGGAGGTGCCTGGTAGGCTACTGTCAATGGGATTGCAAAGAGTTGTACAGTACTGAGCAGCTTGACTTCATCTCTTAGAACTCCAGGTTGCTCTTTGCTATGATTTAATGTCACTCCAGTTATGCCTTGGCTTTTTGCTTGAAGTCTCTTCTTTTGGTAAAGCAGTATTTTCTAAGTGTTTCCTTCGTATTCTATTTGCATCTGACTTCTGTAGGTTTCCAGTTTTGAACCAGGTGGGTTTTCCCTTTTATCCACTAATTGATTCTAAACATGTCTCCCTTTGTTCTGATCTACAGAATATTCTCTTTCACACTGGGCAGAAGATCAAATCTTTGCAGCTCTCTAGCAAAGACTTTAATTTTTCTAGTTTTCAAACACAATAAATCTTGATTTACCTCTGTCTTATTGTTGCCTCTTTGTTGGCTACATTTGTTTCATCAGACAAAGGATTAGAATCTTCTAGATATACTTCTGTTTTATTTTGTTTTGTGAATTTTCTGTATTGACCAAAGATTTTTTTTCATTTATTTTTATTAGTTGGAGGCTAATTACTTTACAATATTGTAGTGGTTTTTGTCATACATTGACATGAATCAGCCATGGATTTACATGTATTCCCCATCCCGATCCCCCCTCCCACCTCCCTCTCTACCCGATCCCTCTGGGTCTTCCCAGTGCACCAGGCCCGAGCACTTGTCTCATGCATCCAACCTGGGCTGGTGATCTGTTTCACCCTAGATAATATTGACCAAAGATTTTACCAGATAAAATT